TTAATCTTCTGCAAATACATCTACAGTGTATGAGATAGAAAACGGAAGTATTGAGATACTGTTTGAAAAACATAATAATTTACCACCACTTGACTGATGATGTGAATTACAAGACAATTAATGATCTGGCACTTAATTAATTGATCAAATATAGGAGCGTTCTTTTTAGAGAAGGGGGGGGGGGGAGGAGGGTGCATATGCCATTGTATTTTCAAAGTGTCTATGGTCAAAATAAAAAAGAAATTAATAGTAAATTAATACGTAAAAATGAAAACGAACAAGCAAAATCGAAACAACAACAACAAGAAAAAAAAAAGAAAATTAAAAAGAAAAAAATAAAGAAAATCAAGAGAGAGAATAACGAAAAAAAATCTGAATAAATCCTTGAAAAGATTCCCTTTCCGTAGTTATATAAAACGAACATAAACACATCTAAAAAAAAAAAAGTGCACGCATGCGAGGGTGTGTGTGTGTGTGTGGGGGGGGGTAATCAAACCATTTAATTATATAATATTATGCTAGACTATAAGCTCAAATCAAAATGTCTGGAACTACTCTGTTTGCCTTAAATAAAACTAGTAAACTTCAAATCAGAAAATAAAACTAATGTACATTACTCTGATTTTAAATCATCGCCCTTACTTTTCGACTTGAAGTTAAAAACATCAGCTTATCTCAAACATGTCTTCGGTCCTATAACACACCTGGCCGTGCCAAAGTTAACATGTTTAGCTCTAATTTATTTCAATAAATTTAGGCAATTAATACAAGACCTCCAAATAGTTTTGAAAATGACCACTGTTGATTATCTTCACATTTTATTACGTCAGTTTTCAAACCTCAGTGTTGCGCCACAGGTGACGGTGTTGATGAGGAGATACAAAAGTCCGTATGGTTTTCGCTGCTTCATCCTTTATGTCATTGCTACAGTTTCCTAGCAGTGCATTCATGTTTTTTCCTACTATATGTATTGAGAAAATGCTATTGAAACTATGCTAATATCAGTAACTTGATTCGATTACTTAATCTCTGATAACAAACTTTGGGCATTGAGTCGCCAACTCTCGGGCCTTTCTGACTACCTGGAATGTGTAATATGTAACCCCCACCCCACACCAAAAAGAAAAAAAAAAAAAAAAAAAAAAAAAAAAATTGAAAAAATAAATGCAAGAGACCACTTATCTGTACATAGAGTCTGGAGCTCAGCCGGAAAGGTCAAAGCCGCGAAATCTTGTCTTCACAGATTACTGAGGTAAAAACGTACATGGATTTGTTCATAGAAATTTTTCACTTCTCATGAATAAGGCCATTCATGAACTATCAAAAATTAAATTAGTTAAAAAAACTTTTTCGGAAAAATTACCAGTAAATCTATAAATTGAGGACATTAAACAATTTTTTTCGGACAGTTATAGGCGTGTCTTTTTTTTAACATTAGTATTACGCAAATAAATGTTTGTTTTGCTTTATCGTATGATTTTTTTTTATCGACAAACGCACCGGCGCGACGTCACGTCTTTGAAGCGCTATTGTGACGTAATTACGCTTATGTCACGAAGGTCCCTTTTCGCTTGACGCAACTCATATAGATATATACATGTGTATATAAAAATTTATAAAGTTGTTCTGCTGGGGCAGTTTGGACATTTAAGAATTATTTCATGAAATATTCTTTAATTGCTTTCATTATGTTTTTTTGTTCAAGTGTACAGCCATGCCTCCAAAGAGGGGACAGAAGTCCTCCGCTCCCACAACCACCAAAAGGCGGAAGACAATCCAACCAACTGGCACAGATGTAAGTGAAGCCGTAACACTACAACTGCCACCTGTGGAACCACCTGTGCAAAATGAAATCTTAAATATCAACTATGACAAGTTAGCTACAGCTATTCTAAAACAATCACATGCACACAATGGACTAAGTCTTCAACCTCAAGAGGCCTCTTCAGTGCCAGCAGCTACTTCTCAATCATCTGACCCATTACGAAAATCTACAGCAGATCCACAATCATCTTCAGTACCAGGTCCTGCATCTCAACAACCTTCAGCTCAGCAACTTTCAGCTCAGCAGCCGACAAGCAGTGTTTCAAGTTCAACACCAGTTTTGGGGACTCTGTTAGATTAAGTTTTTGCAGGTGAGCCAGCAAGGGCTTCTGATCTTCCTTACTCATCTACTATCGTTAGTGATGGCATTCCCCTTGGGTCTTCAGTTTCTAGCAAACCTAAGTCAAAAATTTAGAATAATGAATTCATTGATTTCCTATTCATGCAAAATACCAGAGAAGAACTTTTGAGTGTTTCAATTTCCATCAAATTACACCAAAGTCCAAAATTGAAAAGCCCCATATCTATCTCTCAATGGACGGATGCCTTCTTTGTGTTTTTGGCAGTTTACATAGAAAAATACCCTGCTGTAGCCCCCAATCTTTTGAAATATGGGCACATGGTAAGAGAAATCCAACAACTTCGTGGGGACAATGCATTTCGCTCATACGATGAGCAGTTTAGGAAACTAAAAGAGAGTGTTAATGTACCATGGCAACAACCTATTCAGGAGTTAAGGCAGCCACACTATCAAAAGCTTTCCCTGTCAAACAATTCAACAATCAAACCCAGCCCTTTCGAGTTAGGTTTTGTTTCCAATACAATAGAGGAGAACGTTGTAGTAAAAACCCCTGCCCCTTTCGGCACATCTGCATGCAATGTAAAGGATACCACCCCAAGTCTAAATGCACGGATTCAACTAAATCCAGCATGCAGAATTCCCAACCAAAAGCTCCCAACTCCAATCAAAATAAAAAATCTACTTGAAATTCTGCAAGGCCATGACAAGGACAAACTCTCAGTTATCAAAAATGGATTCACCTATGGTTTTCACTTAGGCTGTAAAGGCATGCCAGTTTCAACAATATCAAGGAATCATAGAAGTGCACTCGAACATCCTTCTGTTATTCAGGAATTTATTAATTGTGGTATAGAATCGGGGCGAATAGCTGGGCCCTTCCCCTCTCCACCATTTCCCCAGTTTGTGTCTTCTCCTTTAGGTGTTATACCTAAATCAGTACCTGGTAAATTCCGTGTAATCCATGATCTCTCTTTCCCAAAACATAACTCTGTAAATTCTATGATACCTGAAGAAAATTCAAAAGAAAAGTATGACTCTTTAGATGTTGTAACAGACCAACTTAGAGAATTTGGTCACGGCGCATTAATGGCTAAGACAGACACTCAAGATGCCTTCCGCATAATTCCAATTCATCCTGATGATTACAAACTCTTAGGATTTTCTTGGAACAATAGGTTCTACCATGATAAGTTTCTACCAATGGTGGATCCAATTTGCAATTGGATTGTGGCGTTTATTTTCTTTTTACCCACCCTTTCTTGATGACAGGCATATCAGTGCCAGCTTTATGATATATGTAATTTTAGGGGGTCAGATTGCATAATATGTTACCAAAGATTTTTGTATTCTTTCAAAGTTTGTTCTAGTCTTGTCTGACCCCCTTATAATATGTTTATATTTTGTTTTGCGTAATTTACTTCAATAAATGACATTTTTCACTTTCACTACTGTTGTTATTTTAATTTTAATCCATCAAAAACTAGCTCAGTTGACTTGGCTTCGGTCTTGCATAATAACAGAGGAACATAGATAAGTTATTATTATTACAATAATAATATCCTTAATGTGACAGAGTTATATTAACTATAATTGTTTTATTTATTATAATTTATTTCTAAGGTATCATGTTTTACTTGGCAATTGTAAAGTTGTTTCATGTTTATAACTTTTTAGATCGGGATCAATTGCCTAATTTTAATTTATGACACAATTGACTTAATTTACAGCCAATCAGCGTGGCTTCTCCTAATCACGTGACCATTGTTTTATTTTTTACCAAAGGAGAAAGCCACACAAATTTACAAGGAATTTTTTTATCGAAAAACCCTCCATCCATCCCCCTCTCTTCCACCGTCTTATATTATATTTGTTATATATGTACTTATATTAGTGTTCATATTTATTTGTTTGGCGTTTATTTTCTTTTTACCCACCCTTTTTTGATGACAAGCATATCAGTGCCTGCTTTATGATATATGTAATTTTAGGGGGTCAGATTGCATAATATGTTACCACAGATTTTTGTATTCTTTCTAAGTTTGCTCTAGTCTTGTCTGACCCCCTTATAATTTGTTTATATTTTGTTTTGCGTCATTTACTTCAATAAATGACAATTTTTCACTTTCACTACTGTTGTTATTTTAATTTTAATCCATCAAAAAACTAGCTCAGTTGACTTGGCTTCGGTCTTGCATAATAACAGAGGAACATAAATACATTTTTGTCAACATCTTTTTATCTGTGTGCAGACTATAAGCAGTGCATGTATTTATCAAAGAAGGTAAATGTTTATTAAAAAGTTTTAAAACGTTGAATATTACTGGGTTTGTAATTACACATGAAGTCAATTTATTTCATATATATTTTTATTTATAGTGTGTCATAGAAAACAGACGAGATATACTCTATAAAGAATTTTCATACAAGAGCCCTATATCTAAAAAAAACACCAGAAGGTCTTATTTTATGAATTATTTGGGGATTTTTTTTCGCTCTCTCACAATGAAGAATTTGAATGTTATTGGAAAAATGTTATGTATATAATGATGATTTCTAATTTTGAGCGTTGGATTTTCACGTGTTTGACCCGGTTTCGATTCCCGTACTATTTGAATCACTTTCGAGCTTTATTTTGAAATTAAAGTGTGTGAGACCGTTGAACATTCACTGGCAATTTCGGAAATATGCAGCTATATAATTGATATTTATGTTACAATCAAATAATATATTTGATTCATTGTATTGTGTTTTACGTCCAATTTGAGAATTTTCACATTCGTAGAGAGACATCACCATATACCGGTGAATGACTTAAAACTGAGAACTTTACTCTGCATTATCTTTATTTATATGCCTTATTATTTCTTTTATCAAGGAATCTCAAAATTGGAGACCATATATGTGTTGATGGTAAATTCAAATGTTGTGGATATCAGCACCATGGAATTTACGTTGGAGACTGTACTGTCATTCATTTTTCTGGGTGTTTTGGGAAAAATGCAAAGATCAAAGATACCGATATTAATATTTTTGCAAGAGAAGGCAAAAGGGAAATTACAAGATTTCAATACATAAACTGCAAGCCTCCAGAAGACGTCGTCAAAGTTGCAAGAGAATTTTGCAATGGTTCGAGAATTTGGGGAAAGTTCGATTTGGTGAAAAATAACTGTGAGCATTTTGCCACTTTTTGTAAAACAGGAAACGCAATATCAGAGCAATCTGAACGGCACATCGAGAAATGTCTACATAATCTGCGCTACAAATGGTTTTCTGATACAGTTATGTACTCTTCGTCTTGTTGTCTTTGAATGTTCAGGTTAATGACTTGCTGATATAAAAATATATAAGGTGATTGTAAAGTGATTTTTTAAATGAACAGCCACGGACATTATTTTGCAATTATTGAATGCTTTATTACTCTCTGTATTGCTGAATGTTCTATCTTGATTCTTTCATATTTCTGAACTTTACCCCGTGGGGATCCGGGTTAGAATAGGTCCTTAGTACCCCCTTGCTTGTCGTAAAAGGCGACTAAATGGGAAGGTCCTTCGGATGAGACCGTATAAAACGAGGCCCGGTGTCACAGCAGGTGTGGCACGATAAAGATCCCTCCCTGCTCAATGGCCCTGAGTGCCGAGCAAAGGCCCAAATTTGCAGCCCTTCACCGGCAATGGTGACGTCTCCATATCAGTGAAATATTCTGGAGAAGGACGTTAAACAGTTTACAAGCAATCAATCAATATTTCTGAACTTTTCTCCAGTATTTATATAAGTAACTGTCGTCAAACAAATGGTCATTAAGGTCAAATTTCACAAATGCCCTATCTGGAAAATTTTGATAGCCTGACACTTTCTGAATGAAAATATCCATAACTTTAAAAAAAAATATCGCACTTTTTCAATATTAAATGAACATTTAAGTAAGCAACTTCAAAATGACAATGACGTTATTCAACGAAAACATAAGGACGTCGCTTGTGTCAAATTTAGTTTCCAAACATTCTTAAAATTATCTAAATAAGTAAAAAAAAAACCCTTATTGATCGCCTTGACAAATATAAATATTTTTTTTCTTACATTGTTCTAGTAAACTTGATAGGATAAGATTATATATTCTTTATTTCCTCCATAATGGAGAGTTTGTATAAACAGATAATTAATTCGTGTAACAACACAATATAAAACAGAAAACAAATTTATATATGTGCAATATTCTGCTTGAGGATTACAGGTTACGACAATCTATTGCAAAAAGACTTTTATTTTATAAACTGTTAAGGCAACAGTTATCATAATACAACTCCATTTTGTAAATTATAATAAAATTATGTTTTCAAAACTTGTGCCTTTACCACATTCCTTTAAAGAAAAAAAAACTGTAGTTCAGCATCTAGATTCTCAAACAAAACATACTCATTTACATCTAAGTATATCTAAAGTGCCCTCAAACATAGTTTCCCCATCCTCTAATAGTGTAAAACAACTTAACACTGAGTGCATATCATAGTTACTTGCAATTGTTACCTTATTGCAAAATTTACAAACAATTTCTTTGAATGAAACCTGTTTAAAAAAATCGATTAATAATCTTTTTAAAGGATCTTCTCTAGCAATCTGTTACAATTTATTTGGATTCAACGTAGTATGCATTTTCCTGAAAAAATACATGTCAGGATCTCAGATCTAGAATCAGTCTGAGGAGCACGCCATTGTTTTTCTCTACATCCATATTGTTTGGATAAGCATTTTTGAACTTCCTTTTAAACTCACCTAAGCTGAAGTTCAATTAAGCATTTCTGATCACATTTTGTCCGTCGTCCGTCCGTCTATCTGTCCGTATGTAAACTTTTCGCATTTCCGACTTATCATGAACCACTGCGCCAATTTAAATAAAACTTATTACAAAGCAACCTTAGGTAAAGGGGAGTAAAAATAAATGGCTCAGTCCCCTCACGAGAGGAGATAGTCAAGAAGAGACAAAAATATGGTGGGGTCATTAAAAAAATCTTCTCAAAAACCACTTGGCCAGAAAAGCTAAAATTATGTGGAAGCATAAAAACATCCTTGGGTAGTGCACTTATACAATGCTCAAACCATGACCCCCAGGGGTAGTGCAGGACTGCAATAGGAACTCCAAGCTATATATTGAAATATTTTGAAAAAAATCTTTAAAATCAAGAACTTCTAGGCTAGACAATCAAATCATGACCTTCGGGGGTAGGGCGGGGCTGCAATAGGAACACCAAGTGTATCAATGAAATTTATATTGATTTATTGCATGTTGTTTAACGTCTCTCTCGAGAAATTTTTTACTCATATGTAGACCTCACTGTATGCCGGTGAAGGGCTTAAAATTTAGATCTATACTCGGCACCCAGGATCTTTGAGCAGTGAGGGTTCTTTATCGTGCCAACACCTACCATGACACGGGACCTATGTTTTAAAGGTTTAAGCCGAAAGACCCGTGACTTTCAATTTTAGTGTCGAGCGCTTGGAGAAAAAACAGACACCTCCTATTATTACGTCTAAGGTATGACGCGACGCCGCGAATGTGAATCGAACTCGGGCCTCCCGATCAAGATGAGATATATAGGAAAAATCTTCGAAAATCTTCTTCTCAAAAACTAGCGGGCCAGAAAAACTGAAATTAATGTGGAAGCATTCTGGGGTACTGTAGATTCTGTACAAACCCTGACCCCCCCCCCCCCCCCCGGAAGAGGGGGGTAGGTGGGGCTGCAATAGAAAATATAATTTTACATTGAAATACATAGGAATAATCTTTAAAAATCTTTTTTTTCAAGAAGTACTAGACCAGAAAGGCTGAAACATTAGGGGAAGCATCCTTGGGTAGTGTAGATTCTAGCTTGTACCAACCATAACCCCCGGGTCATAATACGTATTACATGGGAAGGGGTCATCTGGAAAAGAAGAGCAATAATTATTGTCCATGGGCCTCTTATTACTGTATATAATGCTACAATTGTTTTCAAACATATCTAAGAGCTTGCTTATACTTGCTATCAGATTGTAACATGTTTTTTATTGCAATTTTTTAGATACATGAATATCAGAAATAAACGTATATGAATATCAGAAATTAATTTATAGATCTGATAGAGTACAGGGATTTGTTCTGGCCTATGGAGTCTACCTAGGAAAAGTTAGCAACATATATCATTATTAAATGATCAGGAATTTTGGTGCTCTCTGATTGGTCTAGACGCTCTTTTCTGAGGTGTAACTCAGAGTGATAAATAATAAATAATCATAACTCAAGTATTGCTTCTTAATTATTTTGGAAAAAAACTTTGATTTAAGGTTTTTAAAACACGCGTCTTTATTTCTGCCGATGACGCAATCTGTGCGTATCTGAGAGATTTGAGATCACGTGACAAAAGCAATCCCATCTTTTGACTAAATCGTATGTTAAGGGTTCATGAGGAGAGTAGCGTTTCAGAAACCCTTGGCTAGCGAAGCTGGCTAAAGGAATACATGGAATATGCACATCACCAACTAAAAGTCCAATGCCATTTTTGCATACCGGTATCTCATATAATAAATCAGCAGCATACAGTTGTTTGGCCAGTTCCGAAAAAGAAACCGATTCGGCGGTGCTATAAAAATACTAGACAAAATTGCAAAATCTAAGTGTTTTGTCAAGGTTGTTCGTTGACTTGTGGAATTAAATATTGTTCCACAAAAGTTCAGCCTTCCCTCCAAAATTGTTTTCGCAAGTTACCATAGGTGTTTATTTTACCAGTTATGAATAAGCCGACGAGTTCCGGATAGGCTAGAGATTCTTATTCAATTAAACCTTAAATTAAAAATTATACGTCCCAGACGTTATCCATTGACATGTCTAAGAAAAGTTAAATTAATTGCTTACCAATAAATTATTTGTATTTCAAAACGTTGAAGATAAAATAGAGGTACTGTGGGCACTGGGCTCATTTTAATTAATGATATCCCGTTTATGATTATTTATGACAAAGTCCATGATTCGCTCTGGGAGAACCGAAATAAGTGTCAGATCAAAAAGTAAAATAAAAGGTGACAATGTCACAATATATTAAATAATCTGTGAAAGTATATCATTAAATCTCATTCAGTGGTATAGGAGGTCAGAATTATATTCTTGCCGTACATTACACTCAAAAGGTCATTTGTGACGCGCAAAGCAAAAATCTCCCTTATCTCTATTATGACGTAACGTCAAAAGAAGCGTCTAAGGTCAACAGGGTAAAAGCGACGTAAAAACGCCTCCTCCAGAGAATTGAGAATTTCTCCACAACAGAACAAGGACATTTTGTTTTATTCAGATGCTAGAAGGAAGATTCTTGGGTGTGGTTTGATCATGTTGATGTAGTTCATTCTTTAAGGAGTAAGTCTCCGTCAAGTGTCTGTGTGATATTTCCTTTTCACAATTAAGTGTACATGTATATTATCAAAGATGTTCAGTGTTTTGGTTAATAATTCCTGAAAGCCCGTTTTTAAAATGAAGTATTTGCCCTCTCCCTATACGGGTTAAACTAATTGCGTCGGTAGGTAGGTCGAAATTTTTTTGTCAGAAATTTTCGATGTTAAATAAAATTGAAGGCATTTCTGAAATAAAAAAATAGTTGGATGAGAAAATTCCGGAATGTATATTCTGGAGGTTTTAAAAAGATTAAGGTCGATTTATCTGAGAAGGTCAAACAAACAAGTATATTTATAGTATTTTTTTTTTATTTAATGTCCAGCTGTTCAATCGAACGTGATGCTCATGCAAGAAAAATTAAACAGAAGCATTAAACCAAGAAATCTTGTACGATAATGAAATGTAAAATTAGGCGAATTTATATCTCTTTGATGCATGTGATTGTGACATAGATAACCCAATTATGCAATAAAAAGTGAATTCTTTATCCAACCAAATACCGCGATATAACCAGAATAAAATTATAGAAGTATATAATTACATCTTTTCTCTTCCGTAGATGATGTAAGTTAGAAAAATGCATCAATTTTATTGCTCCTTTCTGTGCAAGTAATAAGATCTGTACATAGCCTTTGAAAGCTTGCTTAGGAGATTGAAAAATACAGTAGTTAAGTTTAGGGAAAAAAATGTTATTCTCTATATTTACATTTGCAAATGTTTTCTTTTATATAACACTATTGAAAGCAAGCGTTTTTATAACTGTATAATTCCAATCTTCATTTTATCTATTGATTTCCTGTGTTTTGATTGGACGGGAACACGTTCCAGAAAATTTTTACACATCGATAAATTCTTTCAATCAGAACTACTTGATGACACTACTAGGTTATCGTATAAACAATGAAAACAGTTATTTCTGGGTCTGATCTGGCTAAATAATAAATACAAGAAACTTTAAATTTAATTAGGGCATAAACAAAACTGGCAACATACTAGACTGACTAACTGATGGACGCCGTGAAAATGTTTATATTTCACTGTCCGATCACGAGTGTGAATTTTAAAAATCGCTGTCTCAACGTTCATACGTAGAAATTAAGCTCATTTTGTATCGTTTTGACTTGAAAAAGAAACGTACCCCTCAAACTCTTGCCCTATAAGCATTAAATTCATATTATTTTTCTATATTGTTCCTCAATATTTGAATAAACAAGTGCAAATTGAAGGCGTCGTCGGTCTGCAAGTTTCGCTATGAGAGTTGTTGTTTATGTTAACATGCATATAGCCATAGTCAAAGACGAACTATTCTGAAGCAACAGAGGGAGAGGTATTACCTAACATTACGCGTATACCATGTAGTCTGTGTATATCGAAAGTGGGGTGGTTTCCTTTGGGGTAGGTGACCTGCAGCAACGAGCATTGGTGCCCGCTAAATTTGGAAATCTATAGTCCGTTCTTTTACCAAGACATGCATTATTTCAATAATCTTATGTTATGTTTTCAATTTCTATTTTTAACATTTTTATATTTGCCTGCCTTAATTCAGAATAACTATCTTAAGCATTCTTCGAGATAAACAAATAAAAGCTTTGCAAAATAAATATTTCCCTACCCGATGCGCTCAATAAATTTTAGACAAGACATAAACAGACTATAGTTTGGGTGTAAATCAGAATACAAATTGATTTACAGATTGATAGAAACATGACTGTATAAACTAAATTAAGGTGTATTTTGAAAAATATAACTGTTTTAGATATTGAATTAAAAAATGAATTTTAATAGTTTATGAGACACAATTATGTATTCAACGTAATAAGAAGTAAACCAAATACATGTATTTAAACATTGAAGTTATAGTAATTTTGAGTCATCTTAAAAAATTCATTTCAGTTCAAAATTTTAATTTGTAAAAATTAGTATTTATTTCTGTTTTCTATTATAACCATAACGACATTTATGTCTTTTAATTATCTGAAAAATATTTACATATATAGATTAATAGATATGTGTAATTTCAGGGACCTATATACTATATAGAATATAGGTCCCTGGTAATTTAGAATAAAATTCACTATTACATGACATTTGTTGCATCGTTTATTTCTTTGGTTGGAACTTCTACAGTACGTTAAATTACAATGCCGTAACCCCGTGGTCAGGACACGGGCACAGACAGATAGTGTTATGTAACTGGTACTTATGGGTACTAGAGATGTCGGACTATAACAGAGTCGGACGATCTCACGTAATCGTACTTATACACACGAGTCATTTAATTACGCTGATTATTAAATGAAACAAGAGGTACACGGTTAATATTAATATTCAAGGGTAAAACAAAATAGACAAGTTTATAATGAAAGGAATGAAGTAAACGTATACATGTAATCCTTGTATATATAAGAAAGAAAGCGGACAGTTTTTAAAATTTTCTTAATAATTTCAAGCCGACCCAGCCATATCATGCTTATTATTGTTTTTAATTTTAACTGGACAACGTTTTGTAATTAAATGTATATTTTAAATGAAAAATACAATTATATATTTGTATTATTTTGAAGCGTTAAATGTAAACTTATTAATCTGTATGATTGTATGATCGTCTGAATCAATGAAATAAACATTTAACACCCACCCCCCCCCATTCATAGAATATTTTTAAAATATTAATTCAGGTAAGGATAATTTCACACACCGTAAATATAGCAGTATGCAGTGAACTAGTTTACGTTCATATATACACATCAAAATACAAACATAAACAAGCTTAAAAAATAATCAATTCATGTCAAGACATATTTTGGCATGTGCATTTTTATATATTTTTATACATCCAGTACGTACTTGTTCCTGCCGACAAAGCAGGTAACAACATTGTCTTCGTTTGTAAGGCTCATTATATAAATTGCATTCTAGAAGAACTTGGATTTAATTCTACAAGTGGTAATCCTACTTATACATATACTTCTCTTTCTAAGGAAGAAATTCTTCAGAATCACCTGTCAGTATTGAATACTTTTAATATTCCACAGAGCCAAAATGAATTTGAACTACCTTATATATATTGGATTCCGAAACTTCATAAGAGTCCTTACAAACAAAGATACATTGCAGGTTCCAGTAAATGTTCAACCAGGCCTCTTTAGTTACTTCTCACTAAAATATTGACAGTAGTGAAGGAAAAACTTCAAGAGTACTGTACAAC